TTTTAATTTTTTTACTAATACAAAATCATTTATATTAATGGTCAAAGTTGTGTCTCGGCAAGTGTGAAATGTTGACCGTTGCATTTATTTAAGAACGGAGGAAGTATTAGTTTTACGCATCTCACTATTGATAAGTATCACTTATATAGTAAGTATGTGTTAGTGTGTATATTTTTAATTAAAGAATTACAACTAATAATTTTATGTATTATTGTGTGTGTATTAGTAATTAGTTTCTATTTTTTATTTGAAGTATTATAGCTAATCACTTTATGTATTAGTGTGTGTGTACATAATATTACAAAATTTTAAACGGATCCGGGTCTTTAATGGGTCGTAATCATATGTACAATACCCGACTCGTTTATGAAAAATACTAACGGGTCCGGATCCGGGTAAACGGAATAAAATATAGACTCATAATCGTTAAAAACAACCGGGGTCGGGTCGGGTCTGGGTCTAGACCCGACTCATTGACAGGCCTAGGTAGCTCGGCGCGGAGTGGATTGAGTCTGCCAACACGGACTTGGGCTTATGATGAGATCTCAATCTCGGGGAGGGGACTTGGCCTACTAGGTATATGATTTGGGTTGTTGTATTGTACCTTCTTGTCTGGGCTCTGGGTCTGTAATACCCGAGATTAATTTAAGAGGATTAATAGTACTACTCATACCAACAGAGGTGCATCTCCTTTTAAGGGAGCTCATCACCCAAGAACTGCAAAGTTAAGCGTGCTTGCATGGGAGTAGTCTTGGGATGGGTGACCCCCTGGGAAGTTTCTCAGGGCGCACATGAGTGAGGACAAAGTGCGCGGTAAAGGCTCGTGGTGGTTTGTGGGGACAGTACTAGAGGTCTAGAGTAACTACCTCGGGTCTTGTGGGGCCGGGGTGTTACAGGTGGTATCAGAGCAACCCTGCGACAGTGTGCTGACCCGTTAGATATCGGGCGGGCACTTAGCGGGGCAAGATTCTGGGGTTTTATTGAGATTGGTTTAAGGGCGCAACGAGGACGTTGCGATCCTAAGTGGGGGTGATTGTAATACCCGAGATTAATTTAAGAGGATTAATAGTACTACTCATACCAACAGAGGTGCATCTCCTTTTAAGGTAGCTCATCACCCAAGAACTCAAAAGTTAAGCGTGCTTGCATGGAAGTAGTCTTGGGATGGGTGACCCCCTGGGAAGTTTCTCAGGGCACGCATGAGTGAGGACAAAGTGCGCGGTAAAGGCTCGTGATGGTTTGTGGGGACAGTACTATAGGTCTAGAGTAACTACCTCGGGTCTTGTGGAGCCGGGGTGTTACAGGGTCTTTGCTTAAAAAACCGACCCCTGCTGGCTGGGTCGACCCAAAAACTGGTGACCATAGCCAAAAACCGGCTCGAGTAATCAAAAACTCGGAAATGACCAAAAATCGAAAAATCCGGTCAACCAAAAAAAACGGCTTGGACCCAAAAAATCCGAGGTAACCCGGTTTCAGGGGTTATTTATAAACATTTGTCTTTAAGCATTTTTTTAAACCAATAACATTGCAACTTTGATACCCCAAATGGTGAAACATATGTGATATATTTATATATTTATTTAAGAAATAAAATTGTGTCAAATTATATTATAATGTACAAATACAAATAACAAATAAAAGAAATTAATTAAATAGGACAAAAATTACATTTTGAACTATTATGAGATTATTTTTACTTCATACCAAGTTTTATCATTAATTGAATATTGTGAATAATAACTACTACGTATTTTATAATTTATTTTCATATTCCATTCGCCTTATTTTACCCGTCTTACCTTCCTTTTTGGTTAATCCAAAACAAATGTCATATTTCCACCATTTGGAAAGTATATGTTTCACAACATTTTACTTTATTATACTCAAATTTCAACCACAACTTTTATTTTTCAAATATTTTACTAATGATTGTATCGAATCAAAACAAGACATATAAACTGGGACGGGATAGTTTATAATTATACATTTATTTTTATTATATAAATGTTGACCAGTTTCTTAGTGTTGACACCCACCAGATCCTGAGTGACTCGTGCCCAAGTCAGGTAGTTGGGCCGCTTTCTAGTCGGATTTTTACAACATATCTTGGCCTATTTGACAATATACTCCATCAATAATATAATTTGTATTTGATAATCGTTAATATATTATTGGCCCAAATGATTTTTGTATATTAGTAATGGTTAACGCTCTTTCTAGCAGCTCATTACACTTGGAACCCACTCATCTATCTGTCTGGCTTATCATTATTTACATCTCCCGTTTAATTTTGAATTGAGCTCATTATTGAGCTAGTGGTGAGCTTTGTGTGCAGTGTATTATTTGAGTGTCCTTTGAGTCTCTTTTAATGAGACCAAATTCCTCATGTTATAAGGATAATCATGCTCTCTTTGTTCCGTGAGAGGAAAAAGACAAGATAGTTAATTCCTATCATTGTGAAGCCATTATCCTTCTTGGTGAGGTGAGAATGAGTGATGTCAAGGCTATTTAAGGGTGTTGCTCGTTAAGCTTATGTATGTGCACAATAGACAATCGGAAATCAACTGGCTGACCCAAAATCCATTCAGCGGAACGAATCCTCAATAGGAATTAGTTCAAATAAATAAGAGAACATGCATTTTCATTCATTTCGATCCTTTTATCTTCTGTTTCATAAATTAATCAGGCTTCACTAACTGCTTTAAAACATTTTTGTTGAATTAAATTACATTTAATTTTTTGCTTCCAAATGCTAAAATCACAGTCTTCGTTAAACAGAGTCATGCTATAGTGATCATAAGCATACATTTTCACAAAGAAAAGATGTAAATTTAGCTGAAGAACAATTTAAATATTTGTTAGGCTACAATATATATGACGCAAACCAGAACGAACAAACGGGGTTACTTGAGCGCAAACCTCGGTTTCAAATCTCTTGTTCTTTCGTATAATGTTGAATTCTCACACCGGATACTTGTGAAAGAATTGAGTGATACTCCGTATATTAAGACCCAGATTACTCCTCCTATCAGGTTTTACCTTTTAGGATGGAACCTCGGGACTTAACATGGTATCAGAGCCAAATAATTCCATGGTGTGGGCCCCTTATGAAAAATGATTGATACAATTATAAAAAATGACAAAAACGAATCGAAGAAAAAATGAATGATGACACGATCCACACGAAGTGTCTGGTCATGAAGGAATTAAGTGCTATATTAAAATCCAGATTACTTCTCCTGTTAGGATGACCTTTTAGGGTGAAACACTGGGTCTTAACATAGAAGCACAAGTAAATAAAATTCAGCATAAAACAACACAACAATGACAATACCGGAATCACTGAATTTCCAAAATCAGTAATAAACCTAAAACCGGAGTCAACGGATTTCTAAACATAATAAAAGACCGAAATCACTACAAAAGCGATAAAAGTGAGTTTCAAGCCAATTCACTGGAGTGAAGCCTAGGAGAGGCGTTTCGACCTTACCTTACCTACCCAATTACTTTGAAGAATGTTAGACATGTTCCTGAGTTATGCTATAACTTGCTATCTTGTGCTTCTCTTAAAAATGACGATTTCAAGGGAAAATGGGAAAAGGGAATCAAAGTTGTGAAGGGTTGTTTATGTTGGGTCACGGGTATGCGGTGCCAGCAATCTGCTAGTCTGCCAGTGCAATCGAACCGTGTGGCGCTTCGCTTGTGCTATAAAGGGGGGTGAGCGTGCTACACTATCAGCGATTGCTTTTAGTGTAGCGGTAAGCGTAATGATCCACAATTGGTATCCGAGCCAATGTCACGGGTTTGACCCCCGGCAACAGCATGCGGCGTAGTTGAGGCTGGCAGGTGCTGGTGGGAGGTTGTTGGGTCGCGGGTATACGGTGTCAGTAATCTGCCAGTATGCCGGTGCAATCAAACCGCGCTTCGCTTCACTTGTGCTATAAAGGGGATGAGCATGATACACTATCAGCGATTGCTTTTAGTGTAGCGGTAAGCACAACGATCCACAATAGGTATCAGAGCCAAGGTCACAGGTTCAACCCCCGGCAACAGCATGTTGCGCAGTTGAGGCTGGCGGGGTGCTGGGGGAGATTGTTGGGCTGCGGGTATGCGGTGCCAGCAATCTGCGAGCCTGTCGGTGCAATCGAACCACGTGCCGCTTCGTTTGTGCTATAAAGGGGGAGGAGCTTGCTACATCATCAACGATTGCTTTTACTGTAACGGTAAGTGCAACGATCCACAATGGCAACTCAATGATTCTCCTAAAATTAAATTGTTTTTCTGACAGGTTATGGAGGGGTGTCTCCCTACGGTGGTAAGGGTCTGTAGTGGAGGCGTTCAAATTTCTCCTATTTGTAAATTGTGTGAAACTGGTGAGGAAAACACAGAGCATGCTTTGAGGTGTTGTCCGCGTGTACAAACGGTGTGGCAGCAGGGGGATGGAAGTTTCATAAATGGGACTTCATCTTTTGTTGAATGGGTAAGAAGAAACTTTGAAAGTGTCAATATGGAGAAGCAATGTCAGTTTGTAATGATTATGCGGAGCATGTGAAAATGGCGAAATGGGATTGTTTGGAAGGAGGAGTCACGAGATGGGGGAGTTGTCACGCAGCGGGCAGTGGCCATGCTCTCGGAGTGGAGGGAAGCGCAAGGGTCGAGTCCCCATGTTGACAGGAGAGCAGGCCGTATGGGAGAGGCAAGGAGGGTCAGTTGGATAAGTCCATGTGTGGGTTGGATTAAATCAATGTAGATGGGGCAGTTGATGAGAATAGGGGCATACAATCTTGAGGTGGGTGGCAAGAGATGATACATGGGAGTTTGTGCATGTGATATGGAGGCAAAGGAGGCTAGTTGTTCACTGACGGAAACTGAGGCGTACGGGGTGAGAGAAACTTTTATTGCAGTAGATAGGCTTGGTTGGCAGAAAATTGAGATTGAGACGGATGCTTTGGTGGTGGTTCAAAGTATTTCCAAGTAAGGAGGCTCCTCTTATTTGCAACTTATTATTGATGACATTCGTTCTATTCTTAAAAATCATAGTTAATGTAAGATTTTATTTTGTAAAGAGTCTGCGAATCATGTTGATCATGCATTAGCTAAGGCATGTGTTTCTTCCTCCGAATGTTGCTATGTTTTTTAGCAAGATCCGGATTTGATTGTAAACTTACTTCACAGTGATTTGCTAGAATAACAAAAGGACATTTATAGGGACCACCGAAGGGTATGGGGGACTGGAGATCGGGGAGGATGACCGCCGAAGGGTATGAGGAATACGGTGAAAGCAGCCGTTCATGTCGTCAATCTCTTCCTAGATGGGTTAAGTATGGAAGAAGATGGAACTTTGGTGGCCAGCGGCGGACCGGAGATCAATTGTTTGTGTGGGAATCAGCGGACAAATTAGGGATTGAGCGACCAGATGCAAGGCTAACTCGATATCGACCGACTTACTCAGATTCATCGCTGCGACGCAAATCATAATGGGCACCAACATCATGGGAAGGGAAGAGAGGTGCAGCGCCATTAACTACCAATTGGGTGGCAGAATCTCAATGACCATTTCCAGGGTGGCGATGGCAACGCTCATGTGCTGTTACAACAGTAGATCGTGAGTTTTCTTTCCGTTGGTGCAGCTCTAGACAGCACACAGGGAATTCTCGATCAGGTAGAGTATTAAACTCTAAACCAGACCTGATATTCAGTTTTAATTTGGCAAAACCGTGGTCTGACCATCATCCCAGGAACATTTCAAAGCCTCAACACAGCAAGGCTCGGCAAGAGGGAGATCGGGTTTGCACAACAGAGTAGACAGAGGGGTTATTGGCAGAGCATGGTACGAATAAATTCAATTCGAATTCCTCTGCATTTCTGGCAATTTACATTGACACCAAAGCTTTCCATTTTGAATTGGCACCTTCCTATATGAGTATCGCTCAAATTAAGGACAATCATTGTCGATCTATTTCATTAGATGATGAAGTAATTATTTGGCTGTGTAATTCATTCATTCAGATTCAATCTGAAGCTTCATGGGCTTTCACGAGGTATGAAAACTCCCGTAAAATTCATCTCACTTTTTGAAGAAAATCGGTTTAGAGGTTTCATGCGTTTGGTTGATATGGACAATGAGGGGAGAACAACTTTAATTATTCCTGAAGGGTGGAAGGGTGATGGATTTAGACGGTTTTCCGAAACATTGTTTGACCAACAAGATAAGATGAGGGCACTTAAAAAGAGACAAGTGAAGTTACCTCTTGAGGATTTAGGGATATCTAATTCGATGGAATATCGTTTTGATTCAATTGATTCTTCTTTAGAGAGCTATATTTCATCCCTTCTTTTTAATGAGGATTTGAAGCATCTTATGGGATCTATAGGGGTCATAGGGAAAGGTGTGGGAGAGACAACTGATGAGGCGATTGTGGAATCAGTTGATAAAAGCGAGCAGAATATTCGCAATGAGGGGGCGGTCATAGATTATATTCCTCTAGAATCAGAAAATCTAAATGAGGTTGCTCAAGGGAACACAATTAAATTAGCCGAGGAGATCGGCAGTATTGACAAGGATGCGATTGAGGTCATTGATTTTATTTCTCGTCCTGAGACTGATTACGTTAATAGAGATATTGCCATTTCGAGTGAGAACTATTATGATGGTATGGCTAGAGAAGCAGGGGAGGATGAGAGTAATGTGGAGGAAGTCATGCTAGTAACACCGATTCAAGTCTCATTCCCTTAACAAAGTCAACAAAAAGCAATCAAGGGGAGTTCTCAATTGGATTTTGATGCGGTCTCAAATGAAGGGTCTTCAGGATATGACTCAGATCAAGTGTGGCTTGCTCGATTAAGTGATCCTAATTATAAAACGGCCACTCAACTTAAGTTTAGACGAAGCGTTCAACTTAAAGCTAAAAAGGGTATTAAGAGTTAGTTTTACTTGGGAATATTGCGTTCGCATCTTCATAGGGAAGATTTCTCATGATTTTTGGGAAGGGTGGTCTTGGCTTATTTAGTTGGTATTGATAAAGACCTTAGCTATTGGTTTCTATCTTCATCAAGAGGAGGGCTTCTTTTTTGGGTGTAGATCATTAGCGTGTTATTTCAATGACTTTATGTTATTTCTCTAACTTTCTGCCTTCATAGCGGTTGTAATTTTTTCTATATTCTGATAAAACTTTTATTTTCGCTAAAAAAACTAGAATAACAAAAGTTCTTGTTCACTACAAAAAAGGCGGAGTATATATAGTGATTACAACAGAAGATGAGAGGTTTAATCATACTAAACTCTAAATTTCAGAGACTTTGTTTTCTGTGGGAAACACACTTCCAACTTTCCCAAAATTAAAAAACGGCCCAAACACGCGTTTCAGCCATTTCTCGCGTTCGGAAACGTGTGCACGTTTCCGATACGGGGAAACTCACCCCTCCTAACGTTTCCGTGCATTGTAGATTATAAGGTCACCTATATAGAGAACAAGAAGTGACAAAAATAGAGTGCAAACGGGCTCTATGAGCTTGGTCCATCCAGAGTATTAGTCACTTGTGGGGTTGAATATTACACGATCCAAATAAATGTTACTAGAGTTCAATGAGGTAGGACGGATTTCCGGGTTCAATGAGACCAATTAGACGTTCATTATGCAACTTAGACGTGCATGTTGATGACTCGTTGCTACTTTCTTTTTATTTTATGTATTCGCTGCAATTTATTTCTTATTAGCCAACTTTTTCACCAAACACGTATCTTTTGATTTCACACACCGAATTATGTAATAAGAAAAAGTAAGGTTGGAATTACTTTTCTGGCTATATTGGCAGAATATAGCCAATTCAGCAGAATAAGCCAATTGAGTCACTTCAGCCAGAAGTTCATAAATTTTAGCAGAATAAGCCGATTCAACCGATTTCAACATTAGCAAACGTGTTCTTAATCTATTGAACTTGATAGATGGGTAGTGACAAATGAGTGCTTTGAATCATGATAGGAGCAGAGAAACAAACATGGTTAGTTTAAACTTCAATTTGCCTGTTCTAAATGAACAATTTATGCAGCTCGTTTCTGTGTGACAATTATCATTAAGCATTGTCTAAAATTGTTAGTTTAGTCTAATTGTTTTCACTGATACTTTTGGCAATACAATAGAACTTTTCCCTTAAAGTAATGCAACAGGGTCTCCATCTTGCAGATAATAAAATCACATATGTTTTGTACACTACTTCTTGATATCTCCATCTTGACAGGATGTTTGAAATTGTAAAGGTCTTAGGTAAAATTTTGGTTCAGGAATTAACTTTGAAATATTTCTACCTACTATATACACCTCTATTCTAGACTTTCTTAGCATGCAAGGGATATAGATTGCGTGAGTGCATATCACATGATTGAAAGCAGTATAGATACAAATGGATCTCTTGAAAATGAAAAAACAAGGCAGATTAGATTGGTTTCCATTCATGGAATTGATACTGCCAGTTTCTTAACTGGAATTGCATAGCACCTATGGAATGGGAAGTAGAGGTTTAAGACAACGGTTCGGTTATTACAAAATTTGAAACAGAAATCGCTTATTCTAGATTACAATCATATGTTAATAAATCGTGTGTGGTAGACCTAAAGTATCCAACAAGAATCCACAAGAAGAGAGAACTCCAAGATAGCAACAAAGTATCCACAAGAAGAGAAGTCCAAGATAGTAACAAAGTAAGAATTCAGGCATTAACCTCTACTTGCCTCCCCACCTGTGGAGGAAGCATAATCAAGCCATCTACATCTTTTCTATCTTGATACATAGGATTTGATGTCAGAACCCTTATTCTTGACTGCCTATCTATCTCTAAGACTTCTGGTAATCCATTGACACACCCTTTGGACATACCAACATCAATCCTTATAGCCTGGTTCTTACAAACCCCATTAATCCCACTCTCCTGAATGGTATGTCCCATTATCATCCTCTTCACACCGGGGATTGTCGCCAGCACATGCTCAAGGGCTGAACAGTCACAATCTTTCGCCAGCTCATTCGAAAACTTCCTCAACCAAACAATTGAATTTCTCCCCACGACCAACTCCCTCCAAACCGAATCCCTCGCCCCCGAAATCCAATCACTTACTTCTTCATTCAGCTTCTCTAATCCGTAATCCACGTGTATGGGCAAGAGTCCGCCATGGGCGAAAACCGAATCCCCCACCACAACCACAGTCTGGTTTTGCGATAAAAACCTAGTAGCAATCGGTCCACTAGGCCTCAATGCTGCCACACGTGCCCTAATTCCTGCAAAGAACTCGGGTTTCAGACCAGGAAATTGAAGAGGCACCCCATCAAAGGGGTCCTTAATTTCCCCTACACCTTCACACATCTTCTTCAAAGCATCCCCCACCGAGTGCCAGAAAGCCCAACCCTCAAATTCCTTAAGCCCGTCTTTCGTCACGTATCGAAAATCACCAAATACATTCATGATCTCGTGATTACCGTTCATCCTGATCACACCACCACCGGCCTTAGCCGCTTCCCTTTTCAACTTCTCGAGAAAAAACAGAATCTTCAGCTCCTCCCCGCCGCGGTCGAGTACATCCCCGACCTGAACAACCGTGGCGGAACCGCCGCACCACCGTTCTTGGTCGTCAATGAGCCCGGAGAGGCGGAACGCCTGCTTCGTCTTCTGAAGATCGCCGTGGAGGTCGCCCACCGCGATGAGACGGGCCGGTGCTTGGAATACGGTCTGCAGCCGCGGCAATGCGTCGGAACTGAAGTTCGAGTTGGCGTACGGCATCAGGGGTGGGCTCAATTGCGGCGGAACAGGGGGCAAAAAGAGGCCCCCGCTGACGGAGAAATCGACGAATGTGTCGGCGAAAGAGGATAGGAAAGTGGGGAGATTCTCGCAGGAAACGGCCGTTGGAGATTCCATTCGAACGATTTTCTTATTGTATTCGCCAATCTTTGTTTTTCTTTCTCTGGTAATGAAGTAGAAAATTGATGTTGCGCTGTCGGCCACTCTCGTTGTGAAAGACTTGAGGTAGATGTATGGCTTATTGGCTTTAGCCCTTTGACCATTTGGGAATTCCAGAACTCGAGGAAAGGGACGTGTGGACAATTGTTCATGCTACAGCGGCGGAAAAGATATTTTAAAAGATGACAGTATTTTTATGAACTTTTTAATACTCCTTTATCCAAAATAAAGTTCACACTTGTTCTCACTTCTTTGTTTGTCAAATTATTTACATCCAAACAGTGCAAAACAGTGTCAAACAGTGTCACAATAATATACTCTACAGTAAAGTCAAATTTATTTCCTTAATTTTTGTGAAGTCAAACACTGAACTTTATTTAGGATCGGAGGAACTATTTATTAGTTATTAAGGATTGAAAAGATTTTAAAAGAAAAAGATAGTGATTGTTTCACAAGCTGATTGTTTGATCTAGTTTTTTTTGTATATAATTTGTTGGGACTAATTAATATTAGAAGATACAGACTTATATCTGGGATGTTATTCACTGTAGCATCTTAAAAAGATCTTTTATTTTTTAAAAAAGTTAATTCCCTATATAGGAGTAAAATATTACAAAAGTGCAAAAATAGGAGTCTAAAGCTCCGTATAATTACATAGGAGTAAAAATTTGTGAGTTGACATAAATACCCTTAATAAAAGTACCTTGATTTCTTTATTAAAAAAATAAAATAAAATACGAAGTACTCCGTACTAATTCAAAGCTTCAGACATGCAAAGCTCAGGTGCACCACAACCAAAGCAAGAATTGTCGTTGCCAACATTTGCTATTGCCGCCACCATCAATTGCTACCACCGCTGCTGCGGCCACCACGGTTGCTAGTCGATGCCACGGCCGCCGCAACCACCACTGCTGCCTATCATCGCCACCATCTCTATTGTCGGCACAACTTTGTCGTCACCGCCACCTAATTCGGCATTGCTTCCGGATCCTGTGCCACAGCTACTCATCCCGTCCCACCTTTGGCTTTTTCGGCACCAGCTTTGGCACCAGCTTTGAAAGAGTTCCCTAAAATATGTCATCTTAATGGAATTCACACAAAAACAAATTATGTAGATCGTATTGCCATCTTCACAATTTCATTGTATTATAACATGATTTTTCTTATTGCTAGATAAACTTTAGGGTCATATAAATGACATTATTGTCTCAAATTAACCTTTTATATTGTCATCACGATGAACTTTATTGTCATATAGATGACATTATTGTGTCAAATTAACACTTTATATGGACACACCATGGAATTATTAGTATTGAATTTGCAGTGGAGTAGTATTTCCATCCTGATGGATTTCATGCCATAAAAGTGACACTATGTGTTGAAATTAACAGATTCATATGGAATCAGTGACATGTTAATACAAAAAAGTCATCTTATTTTTGAATCGACAGTTGAATTAGAAATAGTGAAATGGGCAATTCTAAATTGAAATAAAAAATATAATCTGAAATTTAAAAAATGAATTGATTACAATCAATTGTAAAAATACAATTAAAATTGTATGAAAAAGATTAAGGGTAGAAAACGAATTGGGGGAAATTGGGAACAAGATCCGAACTTACCTGGCCTGCGCTACTGCTGCTCGTCGGAAAGTTTGGGGAAATCAAACTTCACCTACAGAGGAGAGAGAGCATGGTCGCATAAGAGACAAGAGATCGAGGAGAGGCCGTTGGATTTCAACGATGAAGAGAGAAAACAGCTGATGGGGAGAGCATGTTGAACTCAAGCAAGGAAAATACAAAAGAAATGGATGCAAACTCACACATATTATCATACGGATTAGGGGTATAAATACCCATTACAATGCTTGATCAAATGAATTAGAAAATGGCTGAACTGCTTCCTATTTTTTAGCCATATCCCACGTACAACAAATAACAAAAGCAAAGACTAAAACAGATCCTATAAAGATGCTAACAACATAAGACTTATTCAAATGGATTAACAATAACAAGAATAATAAATAGATGACAAGTCTTCTACGTGTGCATGGCCACGTATGCACGCATGCATACTTCCTTTGTTAAGCTTTGATCATATCTCAATACCTCCCCTTGATCCAAGCTTGACCATACCAATTCTTTCCATGAAATATTGGTGCTTCTTCTGAGTTAAGGACTTTGTGAACAAGTCTGCGTTTTGAGCTTCAGTTCCACAAAACTGCAATGTAATTTCTTCCTTTGCTACTAGCTCCCTGATAAAATGATGTTGGACATCTATGTGCTTGGTTCTAGCATGGAATGCAGGGTTTTTAGTCATGGCTATAGTGGACATGTTGTCACACCATACCTGAACACTTCCTTCTTGTTTACAACAAAGATCCTCCAATAGTTTCTTCAGCCAAAGAGCTTGTTTAGCTGCAGCACCAACAACTATATACTCTGCCTCAGTAGAAGATAGGGCCACAGTATCCTGCTTCTTTGAACTCCAAGTAATTGCCCCAGATCCTAGGTCAAATACTGACCCAGAAGTACTTTTTCTATCATCTATGCAGCCTGCCCAATCACTATCTGTATAACCCTGTAATGAAAAATGCTTCACACTTTCATACAAGATGCCATAGTCCAAAGTTTCAGCCACATACTTCAGAATTCTTCTTGTTGCTCCAAGATGCTGCCTTGTGGGAGAGTGCATATACCTGGAAACAACACTCACACTATATGCAATATCTGGCATGGTGTTTGCCAAATAATTCAGACCTCCTACCATACTCCTATAGAGTCTTTCATCTGCATATTCAGTACCATCATTTTTCTGCAGTTTCTCACTAGTATTCATAGGTGTTTTAGCAATTTCACACCTTTCCATGTGAAATCTCTTAAGTAGGTCAGTAGCATACTTTCTTTGACATAAGAAAGTTCCTGCTTTACCTTGTTTAACTTCTAAACCAAGGAAATACTTCAAAACACCTAAATCAGTCATCTCAAACTCCTTTTTCATAGAATTCTGAAATTCTCCTAACATTATATGTGAAGAACTAAAATATATGATATCATCTACATAAAGGCAGACTATTAGATAGTCAGACATACCTTTCTTCTTCACATATAATGTAGGTTCATTATCACTTCTCTTAAACTCATCATTGAGGAAGAATGAGTCAATTTTGTTGTACCATGCTCTTGGTGCCTGCTTTAGGCCATATAGGGCTTTCTTCAGTTTATACACCTTGCCTTCTTCACCTTTGACTTCAAAACCTTGGGGCTGCTCCACAAACACTTCTTCAGTAAGCTCCCCATTCAAAAAAAGCTGATTTGACATCTAACTGATACACAAGTAGTGTCCTTTGTGCAGCCACTGCAAGTACAGCCCTCACAGTTTCAAACCTTGCCACAGGAGAGAAGGTTTCCTCATAATCTATTCCTTCCTTCTGTGCATAGCCTTTTGCCACTAGTCGTGCCTTGAGCTTTGAGATGCTGCCATCTGGATTATACTTTATCCTGTACACCCATTTCAGCCCTATCACATTCTTTTCACTTGACAGATCCACAAGTTCCCATGTATCATTCCTCTGAATGGAATTGATCTCCTCCTTCATGGCTTATTGCCATTCATGATGGGTAGCAGCCTCCTCAAAGTCTTCAGGTTCACTAGCAAGAAGAGCAAGATCACAGGATTCATAAATTTCAATAAGAGATCTTACTTTTCTTGGAGGTGAATCACTGCTTGAGGTTGAGTGAGATGATGGTGAACTCTGAGGTGTTGGTGGTGGACTAGGCTGACCTGTTATCTCAGTTGTTGCATGATCTTCCTCCAAACTGATGGTTCTTTGCATGCCCTTGCTTTGGTGATCCTGCAGCTTCCAATCCGAGCATGATTCCTCATCAAAGATAACATTTCTCCCAATGATTATCTTGCCAGTATGAGGATTGTATAACCTGTATGCCTTGGACTGAGTAGAGTATCCAATGAAGATACACTTTTCAACCTTATCATCTAGCTTAGCTCTTAGGTTGATAAGAGTATAAGCTATGCATCCAAAGACTCTGAGATGACCAACTGAGGGCTTCTTCCTCCTCCAAACTTCAAATGGGGTCTGATTCTTCAAAGCTCTTGTTGGTGAGATATTGAGTATGTATATTGCAGTTGCCACAGCTTCACTCCAAAGCTCAGTTGGTAAACCCTTTGATTTCATCATACTTCTTGCCATTTCTACCACAGTTCTATTCTTCCTTTCTGCAACTCCAATTTGCTCAGGAGTGTATGGTGCTGTGAGTTCTCTTCTAATACCTTGTTCTTCACAAAACTGAGTGAATTCCTTAGATAGGAACTCACCTCCCCTGTCAGTTCTTAAAGCTTTGACTTCTAGCCCACTTTGATTCTCTACAAGTGCTTTGAACTTCTTAAAGTTCATAAAGGATTCTGATTTGTCCTTCTGAAAGAACACCCAAGACATCCTGCTAAAGTCATCTGTAATCATTAGGAAGTATTTACTTCCTCCTAATGACTCAGTCTGCATAGGTCCACACAAATCAGCATGCACCAACTCCAAACATTCACTTGCTCTCCATGTATTTCCTTTGGGAAATGAGCCCCTAGTCTGCTTACCATATATGCAGCCCTCACAAAGCTGCAATTCACCAATCTTTGGCAAGCCATACACCATCTCCTTTGAGCTGAGCATCTGTAGGCTTTGAATATTCAAATGCCCAAGTCTGAGATGCCATAACCTGGCATTTTCCTCTCCTTTGACAATTAATGCCCTTCCATACTGACCTGAGAGATCCAATGGAAAGACTTTATTCTTTCCCATTGTGATTCTCATCAGTACTTCACCATTCTGCTTATCCTTGATCACACACATATCATTCTCAAAGATAACAGAATACCCACCATACACAAGTTGACCAACACTTAACAAATTATGGGCAAGTTGAGGCACATACTGAACATTTTGTAAAATTTTTACCTTGCCCTGATCAGTTTGCAGAGATATTGTACCAAGCCCTTCTACATTGAGCTGCTTACCATCTCCTAGCCTCACAACACTTTTCTTTGACTCATCTATCTCCTTGAACATGTCCTTAGAACTGGTCATGTGATTTGAACACCCACTATCAACATACCAAATGGACATGCCAC